ACTAATATGCTTATCATAGTACATTTTAAATAAATATCAATAATTTGCAAAGAAATGTATATTCTTAAACCAAGAAATGCGCATAATCACCATATTTCGAAACCTTATTGCCTCTGATACCTTAAAATGCAACCGTGCATTCAGCACATTTCAACTGAAAAGCGTTACGACGCTTACGAGATTTGGACAAGCATAGCTATTTGTTTTCATTTCGTATCAGGCGCCAATTAACAAATAAATTTTTATTAAAGCATTCTATAAAGAACGGTAGGAATGTGTTAAAAGATCTTAATGCCTATTTCCGAAGTCGCCAGACATGTGTAAACAAGATTAGTGTGAATAATTGTCATAAATTGCAGATATACTGATATTCACTTATCACCTGGCCAGATTGCCTGCCGGCGCCAAAATCCATAATGTCGTCATCCAAGCGGAAGTCCGTACCAGGACAACAGAAACAAACAACGCCAGAAAAGCGGCGTAGAAGTGGTCAGACGGATGGTGGAACGGCAGCGGGCGCAGCTACTGGTAGGGCAAATGCTATGGCCGCGTCAGCAGCAGCAGCAGCAGCGACCGGCAACGAACCGGAAGCGGCGGAGCATCACGCTTTGGATGAAGCGAATATTTCGGATGACGAAGAGGGTGGAACAAGAATTGGCGATATATATATACCCCCGCCTATACCACCACACTGTTCAACGGAAAGTAAAGGTCCGCGATTAATTATCAAAAAAATTGAAAACAAAAATTTCAAAAGCTACGCTGGTACAGTAGTACTAGGTCCCTTCCATCATGTAAGTTAATGTGCCAGTACAGTTACTTGAATGTGATTGTTATAAATTCTTATTGTTACATGCTTTTCAGTGTTTCACGGCTATAATTGGACCAAACGGTAGCGGTAAGAGCAATGTCATCGATTCGATGTTGTTTGTGTTTGGCTATCGAGCCAATAAAATTCGTTGCAAGAAAATATCGACGTTACTGCATAATTCCGCTAGATATCCTAATATGTCCATGTGCTCGGTAGCGGTGCATTTCCGGGAAATTTTGGACAAGGAGGATGGCACGTGCGAGGAAATTCCTGACAGTGACATTATTGTTGAACGCATAGCATTCCGAGATAATTCTTCCTATTATACGATCAATGGGCGTCGAGTACAGTTCAAGGAAGTAGCAAAGCTACTTAAGAAACATAACGTCGATTTAGATCACAATCGATTTTTAATTTTGCAGGTCAGTCGGAAAAGTGACTTTTACATTCGGAGTTGCTAATTTATTATTTTCTTATCTATAGGGAGAAGTGGAGTCAATTGCTATGATGAAGCCAAAAGGCTTAACAGAGAACGAATGTGGCATGCTCGAGTATATGGAAGATATTGTAGGTACGACGCGATATAAGGAGCCACTGGTGAAAATAAATGAACGAGTTGAGCAGCTAACGGAAGAGCGTACTGAAAAACATAATCGCTGTAAGTTGGCCGAACGCGAAATGAAAGATTTGGAGCAACCATATAATGATGCCGTTGATTATTTGCGCCGCGAAAATGAAAATACTCGCACTAAAAATTTACGCATACAAAAATACCTTAGCGAAAAAAATAAAAAGCTAGAGGAATATAAGAAGGAGCATGAGACAATATCGGCAGAGCTAAAGCAGCACGATGAAGCAGCGGAAAAACTGAAGCAGGAACGGGAAGAGAAGGAGAAACAAGTACGCGAAGAAATTGCGTAAGTGTTATTGCAACAAATTTGGTATCAATAAAGCTATAATTATTAATTAACGTTCACTGTACTTGATTCAGCCAATTCGATGCACTGCGGAAGAAAAAGGAATCGATTGAAAAGCAGTGGGAGTCTGCGCATAAAAATTTTACTGAAGTGCAACAGACGATGGATATGACGAACAAACGGCGCAAGCAGCATAAAACTCAAGTGGAAAAACTTAATAATGAATTGATAGATCTGCGTAAAATACCAGATAAAAATGAAAAAGAAATTGCTGAGTGCCAGAAAAAGGTGGAAAAACTAACTAAAGATAAAGCTGCAATGGAGGAAGAGTTACAAAAAAACTATGTGACGCTAGAGAACTTGACAAAACCGCTTATTGAAAAGCGTGAAAAAATGGAAACTGAATTGGTCGAACTAAAAAAACACGTTGACGAAGCCAAAGCTGCCTTAGCGCTATCGGAATCTGAATTGAAAATTCTCAAACACGATGAGACGACAGAAACACGGAAATATGAGTCGATGAAAACCTCTTATGATGAATCGAGTAGCAGTCTAGAGGAAAAACGTAAAGCAGTACAAGAAATGAGAAGTCGTTTGCCCGAAATACAAAAGGAGATTGTCATGAAAACACAGAAAATGCAACAATTGCAAGTGGGCGAACAACATATGCGCGGTAAACTAATGACACTCAAGGCTGAGGTGAGTTTGTTTGGCTTAAGGTAGTTTATGAATATCGATTTAAAATGTTAAAACTGGCATTTTATTTTCCTTTTTTACAGATAAACGAAAAAACGGTCAGCTTGCAGACGACGCGATCAAATAATAAGGTATTGGACTTTTTAATGAGGCAGAAGAACGAGGGCAAAATACCAGGAATTTTGGGTAGATTGGTGAGTACAATTAAGAAAACAAATCTAATATTTTTGAGTACCAGTTGCTGTCCAAATTAAAAACTTTGCATAAAACTAACCAATGATATATTTTCCAATCTCGTACAGGGTGATTTAGGTGCGATTGACACCAAATTTGATGTGGCTATTTCAACAGCCTGCGGACGTTTAGATGACATCATAGTAGATACGGTCAATACGGCTCAAGAGTGCATTGAACACCTTAAGCGATACGACATTGGACGTGCCACCTTTATTGCACTGGAGAAGGTACAGCATTTGGAGAAGCAATCGGGGCCAATACAAACGTAAGTGTAACTAAATTAGCAATATTTTTATGAAAACTCGCTTTACATTTTAATATTTTAGCCCTGAGAATGCACCGCGTCTGTATGATTTGGTGCGTGTTGAGGATGAACGTGTACTCCCCGCCTTCTATTTTGCGCTTCGCAACACCCTCGTTGCAAACGATCTCGAACAAGGTTCACGTATTGCCTATGGCGCACGTCGTTATCGCGTCGTAACGCTGAGTGGTGATGTTATCGAAACATCCGGTACCATGTCAGGTGGTGGTCGTACACAAATTCGTGGCAAAATGGGCACCAAAGTACAAACAAAGACCAAACAATCTGCCGATACGTCAACGGTGTCGCAAAAAGCATTGGAAGACATGCAAGTGCAGGCCGAGCAACTGCAATCGGAAATTAATTACAGTCAGGAGGAACAAGGTCGTCTGGAGAGGGAACTGCAACAACTGAATATAAGCAAGCAGAAAAATGAATCTGAAATTCAAAAACTTGGCATCACCATCAAGAGTTTGGATGAGCAACTGCCACGTATTTTTAAGCAATTAGAGACACAGAAGAAGCGCATGGAACAAACTACTACCGATGCGGCTAAGGTGAAAAACATTGAGGCTGAGATTTCTGTGAAAAAGAAGACGCTGAAATCTTCCGAGGAAGAGGCAGACAAAGTCACTAAAAAAATAGCTGAGGTTAAGAAAGAGGTTGATAGTATACATGGCGATAAAGTGAAATCAGTACAGACGAAAATCAACAATCTGGGCACACAAATTAAGAAGCTAAATAATAACATGTCTAAGTTGAAAGTTGAAGTAACGACATCCGAACGCAATGTGGCAAAAATGGAAAAGCAACTTGAGCAGCTAAACGAGGATATAATAAAAGCGCAGGATGAGTTGGTGGAGATGAGTGCGAAACGCCAAAATTATGACGATGAAACTGCGCGGCTAGTGAAAGAGATCGAAGAAGCACAGAAAGCCATCGAAAGTGCCAAAAGTGAGTCGTCGGGAATACAAAAGGAAATTGCTGCGTTACAAAAGCGTGAAGGTGAGTGGAAAATCAATGTTATAGACTTGGAAAAATAANATGGTTCAGAAGGACCTCGGGAGCGATACAACACGTTCGACAATATCGGCTGTCGGCACTAGTACCAACAGCAGTATTACTGACACATTCTTCAAGAAACCGCTGCCGCCTGCTCAGAAAGCAACATCTTGAGATGTTCAGCGGAGATGTAGTACTTGTTAATGTTTTGCATGCACTATTTCTTTTATTTTACTTTTTTTATAAAGCTCCTCCCGTTGTTAAAACAAAATTATTACGATTACCTAAACTTATAAATATTGATCTGATTATAAGAATTTGTAACGGTGATTAATTTACGTATGCATATATTTTATTCATTTTGGTTTAAAAGCACAAATAATAAATATAACCAAATTTAAGCATGATTTTTTAAAACAACGTCGTCAGAAGTCTCACTCACGCGCTTTCCAGCCCCATAACGATCTTTTGACAAATGTTGGCTAGCGCCTCGATCGTTGAATTTTTTATGTCTGTTATATCTTCGCCGGTATCACACGCCTTTGTCACCTGAGGATCTAGCGGTAATGCGCCTAAGTATGGCACCTCCATTTCGGCACACATTACCGCTGCTCCACCTGTCTTTGCCGGGAATATTTCTGAGGTTTGTCCACAATGCCCACATCGGAATGCACTCATATTCTCTACTACGCCCAATATTGGTATACGCTGCTTCTTACAAAAATTGATTTCCTTTCGCACGTCTAACAATGAGACCTCTTGAGGAGTTGTCACAATCAATGCATATAAGGTGTTCGGTGCGCTGTCATCACGCAAATATGATACTATTGATAAGTGTTCATCTGATGTACCTGGAGGAGTATCTAATATCAGCAAGTCCAGTTGTCCCCAATCTACTTCACTTAAAAATTGCCTAATCATGCCATTCTTCTTCGGACCACGCCAAATAATTGCATCATCAGGTGAGCCAAGAAGAAATCCTATAGACATCAAACATAAGTTGTCATCCACACCAACCGGCGACCAACCAGAACCGGATTGATGTACATTTTCGCCCTCAACACCAAGCAATCGTGGCTGTGAAGGCCCACAAATGTCAACATCCAATACGCCAAAGTTACGGTCGGAATATACGCGTGCTAAATAACGTGATAACAATGTAGTCACCGTACTTTTGCCCACACCACCTTTGCCGGAAAGTACGAGGAGCTTTTGTTTGACTTCGCGCATGGACTGAGCAACAAGCGCTTTACCGGGATCTTCTACTTTAGTGTTAGGATCGCTACACAGGCGCTGATTGGGACAGCCTGCACAGGCGCTGGCTTTTCCGGCATTCTCTGTCCCCACGCCCGGACAGTTTTCGGGTTCTTCTTGCATTATGCACTTGGTAAATTGTTTGTTGTTAAATTTAACTTTAATATCGCAGGTGCGTACTGTGAAGGAAGAACGTCAAGATGTGTTCGTCGTCTCAACTCCAGCTGAAAATCACAGTTCCTCCAAAAGTTCACGATATTTGTATAAACTGCGTCAAAAATCAACTGATAAATAAAATATCAGTGAATTGAATATAGGGACACGAATTTCCATACGATTCCATACCATATCAATATTTTTGCCATTCGATACCGATACTTTTTACTCGATAGCTTTCAAACGATATCGTATCTATTCATAAATGTACATTACAAGGTTAATAAGGGTATTCATCAAACCTTATAAATGCATTGTAAACCGTATAAACTTATAATTGGGGTGAACCTTATTATAAATGAACTGCCAAAAATTGTATGAAAATTCGTTTACACATTTCTAATAAATTTCTGCAATTTCACTGAATAAACTTGATAAACGGAAGCCAATGCAACTCTGTCGCAACTCTAGCAATGTTTTCTTGATCAATAATTGGGTTCCGCATTAAAATTTTGCACGCAAATTCAAATAACATTATTAATATAAATTTTTTTTATTATAAAATAAAAAGAACAATTCCAATGAAGTATCCTTTAACATTAAACAATTTATAAATTTTTAATAAAAAAATGTGCGAACCACGTAAGTAGAAAAAAATTACCAAGCACTGATTACGATTTTTGATTTGAAATATTGGTAAACTGGTATAAATGTTGGAAAGAAAATACTCCGATTTATTGTTTTAATATTATCAAAGTGGCAGGGCCGTTGAGAATACTCACAACTTATGAAACTTCCAAAAATCTTATTATCCGTCAAAAGTTGTTTATTGAAACTACCTTCTTTTTTATATCATGGGTCGTTCACGTAACAGATTACGTAAACTTATAAGATTATCTGCTTGACAAAGTTATCGGTTTAGATGAATACCACTAATATGAATAATAATACAAAATGAAAATTTAAAAACTTTGGGAATTGGGCAAACCTATTCGTATAAAAATTTTGGTAATTATCTAGGTGGGCTTCCAACCCCCAAAATTTAGGAAAGAGGGTACTATTAGACGCGTCTGGACCCCAGTAAAAAGAATCCGAAAGCGGAAATTTACTTTTTTTTGGTAATTATCTAGGTGGGCTTTCAACCCCTAAAATTGATAAAAATTTAGGAAAGGGGTACCATTAGACGCGTGTGGACCCCAGTAACAAGAAATTTACTTTTTTTACCCGATCAAAAGTTATTAACAAAAAACTTTTCCACAATAGCACCTTTTTTATTCACTTCCCTGCAAAAATCGCGACTACTCCATGCATACGTGTAAAGAGTACTCCCTAAGGACCAAGGAATACTCCAAAATTAACCACAATTCATATAAAAAATGTGGTCCAATTAACATTGCGATGTCCTAGGGCAGGACCATATACTCCATCTCTGCATTACATCAGAGTAGCACAAAACTACTCCCAACATACTCCAATGACATTATCGTTATATTTTTTCGTTTGTACACGCTTTTGTTCTTCACTTCTCATATGCTTTTTCGAAATTAATAAAAACCAAGACAAAAATTAAAAATTACATGTTCCTCTGACGGCATTTGAACCTGAACATGCTGGGAGCTCACAGCTAACAGCGAGCATCTCTACACGTTCAGCTACAGCCAGACATGCAAATGTGCTTTCAAATGCTCAACTTCAATCACATTTCGTTAAATCACGAGCAGTTATCGGGTAACAAAGAATAAGCTGGCGCAGAGACACGAGTTGGTCCGCTACAGCATGACAGAGGAACACTTTTGTAAGTACTCCAATATACCACAAATGGACTACATGGTCCAACGATTTTTGCAGGGTTACTACACTTAGGGCCAGTTTTTCAGTGCCAACTGGAGCCCTCAATGTTACTTATTGCAGTGTTGCCACTCTTCAATGCCTTTTCATAAACTTACCTTTTCAAACTACAATTTTTCGTAGATAGATAGAAGCTAAATATAAACTACTTATTTTTCAACAAAAAACCTTATTCGATAGTAAATTTCAAATAATTTAAACGTATCTATTTGCAAATAACTAAATCACGCAAATTAGTATTGATTAGTGATACTATTTGCAAATAAGCGCAAGACGCCGCCATTCTTATGCTTATTTTCTTTTTCCATGTTCATCTTATTGCCTTTTTATAATCAAGACGTTGCCATTTTTAATTTTATTTTCTTTTTCGATGGTCATATTATTGCCTTTTTATAATCAGGCAATATTAAATACAAATTTTTCACCGTCGAATAAACAGTGAGTTAGGTATTAGCAAATTATTTTTATTTGCAAATAGCTTACGTATAAACGTGGTATATGTTGTACAACGGTTTTAACGAATTTTTAAATCACAGATTGAGGTAATTTGTACATGTATACACATATATCTTTATACGGTCACAAAGCAAGTAAGCACACTCTTGAGTATGGTGTTGGAATTTTTAATAATACTGCGCATTTTCATCACGTCGAGTCATAGCGATACCGTCATATACTTCCTCCTCCACTAAACGCTGGTGTTTGTTATTTCGCCGCTTCAGCCTAACATAAGCAACTTTCGTCCTTTTCAAAGGCCTCAAAAGCTTTATAAGGTACACAATAGCCACAACAGATATGACACCAAGTAGTACGAGCAGAATGGCAAAAACTAAATTCTCCATCTCTGCAGGTGACCGAATATAGAACATCATTTTTGATTGCTCCTCGACTGGCTGCATTGTCAATTCGTCGCTTACATTTTTTAGAAGGCAATAAGGTATAAACGCATGTTCCAAGTCGGGCAATGAGATAGGAATTGCATTTTGTTGGAAATTAGGCAGGCAAATGCATTTAAATGTACTATTAACCAGCATGCATTGTGAATTCGCCGGACACGGCTCTACTAAGGGGCTGGATATTGAAGCATTGTTGGACACTGTGCAGTTTTTCACTGAAATAAAATAAAGTTTTTGTTTAAATAAAAAATTAAAATTAAAGTAAAAAATAATCTATCTATTACATTTTACACACCTTTTAAGCCTAGCACAGCACTACTGGCGGCACACAAAAGCAAAATGAAAGCTTTGTTTTGTCCGTACATCCTCACCTGTTAGTTTGAATGTTGAGTTTATTTTGGCCTCAAATAAGCGGTGGAGAATAGAGTAATAGCTGACAATACCACATTTTAAATTCGTTTGTACATGTATAAGTATGTGTACCTCAACTCATGTTGCGCTCTTTGCGAAAAAATAAAAATTTCAAACAAGTTTTCTTCACTGCAATCCCAGGCACTTTGTTTATATGTACGAACGATTCACTCTCAGTCTACCTTATCTTATCACGAGTAGCGAACTTCATGGCATTCATAGGTATGTAAATATGTACAATTGTACACAGGTATGTCTAACAAATTTGATATATAGTGCTAATTGTATCAATGGACTGTAGGCAGGGCTGCCAACTTTTGCATTCCTGAAACCGGGACGCACAATAAGTCTGTTCTTTTGCTCGCCCGTAGGTGCCCGAAAGTACCCAATTTGTGTTTCTTTGTTTTTGATATTTTTATTGAGCTTTGTACCACGATTGTTTATTAGGAATAATTGAAAAAGCAACAAAGTCTAAGCGGTAGAAGTTATAGCAGCTATTTCGGAGATCACCACATCTCTTCATCAGACTACTTTTTTTCTAGACTTCAGCAGGGATCGAACCTGCGAATTCGATGCTCAAAGTCAGAAGCGTTAACCACTGAGCTATGTACATCCCGTAAACTCTTGTTGCAAATTCATGTTCCTTATTCAACCAACTACTATCAAGTGCAGCTGATTTGCCGCTACCTTAACTCGACAGCGTGGTTGTTGTTGTCAATTCTATACATCCATTTGCTTATTTGCTTTTTTGTATAGTTTCAGGCAGGCTCTTCCTAAACTATGTATTTGTCAATGTTATTGTGGCTTATTAACTTTTTATTTTTTTAATATTTTTATTGAGCTTTGTACCACGATTGTTTATTTCTTTGGTTAGTTCTCGGGCTGTTGAGAGCACCTAGTTTTCCGAGCAAGTTGGTGAAAACTGTCAAACTGCCAGAAGAAGAGGAAAAATTTGAAAAATTCAAATTTTAGCTGATAAATGCGCATGTTTTTGTTTAATGCATAAGTGAAAAAATATCAAGTGAACCATTCGTTTAGCGTTATTGTGTCGCTCAAATCTTAAATTCATAACTTAGTGCGATTTGACGTTTAGAGCTCAACCACCCAGCGACGGAGCACCCTTTCGTGCCTGTCGTCCGTATTAACATACGAAATTACTGTTGATAGAGAGAGAAAAGCACCGACAACGTCACCGTCATGCAGTGATGAGTTTTCGTTAAGACGAGAATGCCATAAGATAGGTCTTGTTAACTGACACATTCTACGCTTTTACGTCGGTAGCTGGTTGAGCTATTCGTTTCGGGACGAAAAAGGGGTCTTTGCGTTCCCATGGTTTGGGCAGTTTATTCACTTTTGTGAGAGCATTTCATACGTAGATACATAGTTGAATGAAGTACTGCGACCAGAAGGTCTATTGTGCCCCCAGACACTAAATTTCAGAAGTGACCTTGGAGGTAGAAAGTGTATGTGGTCCTCTCTTGTAAAACAAAAAACAAAAAACCCAAATGACAAACCCAATGTTAGGAAAGAGGGTAGGTAAAATTACATACTCAATATGTAACAATAGCATGTAAAATTATATATATCTACATATATAAATTTTCAAAAAACGAAGTTTCAATGATATTTTTTAATTATTTAAAAGATATACTAAAATTGAAATAAAAATTATGTATATACAGTGCCGCACAGTGAATTTTTCACAATGTGTGCAACATTTTTTACTTAAAATTGTTCGCGAATTTTTTATAACCATATTGTTCATACCACAACAAAAAACACAAAAAAACAAAATCTTAACTTCGTGCAAAAACTCAGGAAAGTTCAATTAATGTGCATACCAGTTGGCATATTAGTAAAACAAAGTGCCAGTGTGAAGCTAGTAAAAAATGGTGTTCCTTTTTGGGAATTTCTTTGCAGGTACATAGTACAAAAAAAAAGATTATCGATTATACTTTGTACTTGACTCATTTTAACCGGGACGCAATTACAAATTTTGCTTTCACTATATGGCGTATGGTGTCGATTAATAAATAAAATAACATTGATATTAAATAAAATTTAAAAATTTAAAGAGTTCTAAATTTTTTACAACGATATGTCTATTTTTTTTTGCCGAAAACCGGGACATTTTGCGTTAAGGCAGTTATTGTACCGGGGCCGGGACATAGCTCTTAAATCCGGGACAGTGCCCCCGAAAACGGGACAGTTGGCAACCGCGACTATAGGGATATTAGCGGCTGATTAATTTTTAAATACATGCATACATGTCTATGTTTCAATATTTAGAAGTATTTATTTTTATTAAAAAAAAACACGTAGATAACAACAATTTTGTAGCCGATTTAAGTTTTTGATAATAAAGTTTTTCGGCTACAAAGTGTTTGGTAACAACAAACACCTCTTAACAGACAAATTACCACACATATTTATGTATTTATGTATATCGCTATTTTAGAGTGAAAATCTGCTAAGTCCATAACTCATATTTTGATATGGTTAGGTAGTTTTATTTCTTCCTGTTTATATTCAATGAAAGGCATATTCAATGTCCAAAAAAGGCATAGAAAAATCGATTAACTCGAAATCTTTTATTTAGCATACCCTTCTCATTCGTATGAAGTTTTCTCTTGAAGAAACTGGCTATGGACTTAGCAACTTTTCACTCTAAACTAGCGATATATATTTCATCTTTTACCTTGAAAAAGCCCCCGGACTAGGGTGTTTGATTCGGGCATTTTTCAATATTTTTATGCATTTTTTATCTTGATTTTTCGAATACCGAGTAAATCGGAACCCACGTAGTTTATTTATATACCAAAATCTAAACATATTTTATTAAAAATGGAACTGGAATTAAAATTATTATATCTATACCTAAAAACAGGATAATTTTCCAATACATAAAATTATTTAAAAATTATAAGCAAAACCTGACAAAAATTGGTCAGTATTTTGTTGTCCATCGCAACTGGTGCCACCTTAAGGCAGGCTCTGGTCTCCGACACGAAAGGGAGTGGAGTGCCAACTTTGTTCCATCGTGCTACAACAACCAATAACAAATCCGTCACTCCACACATTCAACACCCGCCCCACCATCAACCAGTAGACCATCTTCCAGCACGCAACCCAGGGCATTCACCAGGACAGATGGTACTGCAGTGTCTGCACTAGCCTGATAAGGTGCAACACAACATCGGTGAGGTGCAATACTGGCAATAACTGGTGCCGTGTACATACCACCCGCCACCACCTGCCCAGCTGGGTACCGTTCTTATATAAGTGCGCCATTATAAGGCGGTAACCGGGTACATAGTGCTTACCACCAACTGTGGCTCTACAATCTAGGAAATGTACTCCGCTGGTACCATGAGCTATGAGCAAACTGACAACTTCACATTGAACCCCGTGTACTCGGAGCGTAAAAGCGGATTGGAACCTCGGCCGTTCCAACCGCGACAGCAATAGCATAGGAGCGGATTGGAACCCTGACCTATTCAATCGCCGAAACAGTGGGGCTTTGAAATTCCTGCAACCGAAGCGTAGACGCGGATTGGAATCTAGGCCGTTCCAACCGCCAAAGCTGTGTGCCATACTACTCATCAGCAGTAGAGAACAGGGCAACTAATTCATATCTCAATTCGCCTTGGTAGAGAATTGTTATAGAAATTAGCTAAAGAACGATGTCGTGTACGGATAATGTTGTCCTTACATTTGGCACCCCTACAAATCCGGATCCACGTCGTGCGCGTACTTCTTTAGCCTTAATAAACCTTATGGAAGGTGGCTGCTATTGTAAAAAACACATCTTTGCCTGAATTCAAAGTTGAAAGCAACTGTGAAAATCACTATTTCGCTGTTAATAGCCTATGATAGCTCGCAAGCGATATCTCCTGCTATATATCGCCTGGGATTGCGACAAGCGGTATCCTCAAGCGATTCATCGCCGGAGATCTATCGCAACAGATGAGCAATCGTTATTGCAGACGGCATGTTATAATACTCGTGGCAAATGATTTTACCCGCCGTCTTTACTTGTTTGAAAGTCTCGTTTCAGTCCTAATTTTTTTTCGCAAGCGAATAAACGATGTGGCTAATCCGAAAAATCTTGCGAAATTAAAAAAATAGCTGTCAATCAACAAAAATGGCAGTTGAAAACAAACGCGAGGTCGCCAACCGTTCGGTATGCGAGAAAAATTATGCTTCGTACTTTTTGCAGTCTACAGGTGCGGGTTCTCGCATGCTTCGCCACGCAGGCGAGATTTTCAAGCACGTGAAGACGGCCTGTTAGATGGTTCCATTTACAGTACGTCTACATGCGTTACAACCATTTGCATTCATTACACTCCGTTCCGTTCTTTGTAGGATGGCAGCTCTGTGTTTGGAAGCCTGTTTATCTTTAACTACATTGAGGTGGCAACACTCAAGGTGGCAAAAGTCAAGCTGTCAGCTGTTTTTGTGTCAATACGAAATTTTTGTCCAGACACCTTTTTAGATTTTGCAATAAACGCTGTGGGAAAACTCAGATTATTGGACTGTGATAGCTGCTGTTGTCTTTCAATAACTTTTTAACGTTCAGGTAAATTGCAAAAAATACGTTAAATGGATTCGGCCAACAGCAGTGTGGCTTCTGTGAAAATGAATGGGACCAGCACAACCAATGGTGTTGCTGAAGCACCAATAAAAGCAAGTAAGTATATAAATTAATGAATAGAAGCACTAAAATCAGGTGAGGTGTCAATGAGCCATTAAGAAAAGCTTGTGCGTTGATGGCAGAGAACGTGAATACATTAAATATCCACTAGTAGGTTTTCATTACATATTGATTGTACACAAATGCTCCGCAAACGCGTGTGTGTCAAACAGCTGTGAATTTAATTACGCTTGGTCTTAGCGTACTCGCGAATAAGTTACGACAAATGCATTTTATTGTGCTTATTAATGTATTTACAGTAAAATATGCAATAGGAAATATCGCGCTGGCAAAGAAAGAGGCACCAGACTATATCGTCGTTTAAAGTACAAATCCATTCGTCCTGAAATATGCCAGCCAGAAATGCGATTACTTTATAAAAAAGAGAACCATTTTGAAATATGAGTTTTTTTACTCTAGAAAATAATTTATGCAACCTCACGTACGCGGCTTTGCATTATCTTTATACACGGTTTTGCACTTTGTTGATACGCGGTTATGCGCTTTAAACGACGATATACATACATATGTATGCATGTAGATCACCTACATATCCGCAATGTCACAATAAATGTTTGTTTTGATTTTCTTTTTTAAATGTGTATTAATTTTTTTTTTTAGATAGTAATGGGTGCTACAGGGATGAAGATTCATGGAAAGAAGTCTCTATCGCAGTACCATGGGGTACAGTAGCTGGTAAGTTTCATTTGCCCTTTTAAATAATGAATGTTTTTTAAGGTGGTTACTAGATATGAGTAGTATGTTTTTAAAATTAACATTCGCTTGAATAAAAATAGATACATACACAATAAGACTGATACATTTCGTTAAAGACAACTTGGAGGTGCTAACTTCAATTCGAATTACAAGACAATGGGAAATCAAAAATAGCGAGGTCTTCCTGTGCATTAATTTCATTATTGATTCAAGTTTTTGGAAAAATATTTGGTGCTGCTGATAAAATCTATACTATGTGTAGGATTAGTCATTTGTGCGCGACCACTTTTGTTGATTTACAGATGATAAAGCGTTAGCTCATCCAACAAAGCTTTTAGCTCGCTATTAAGGGGGGCTGGGGGTTAGAAACAAGTTTTGCTATACTACGTACGTAATATTGGTAAATACGAGTAGGTATATCGTATGTATGCAGGTGCATCTGTGCAGAAAACCTAAACTAGATGCTCACCCTAATATTGCTAATCTCAGCAACTACGTACATACATATATATATATGTATATACAAATGCAAATATGTGTGTTGCTATTACGTTTCTTTAGGTTTTAGCTACAAAAAATCTTTTTTTATTGAATGCTATCGATTTTGATAAGCTTGATTTGGCAATCCCCTTATTGAGGTTGAAAGATGTCGAATGCTAAAATTGACGATAAGCAAAGCAATAATTTGATATTTTTAACTTGCTACGGAGATAGCACTAAAGTCCAAAGCTTATTACAACTTTTTTCATATGTACATACATATTTTTAGCACTTAATCATATGCGTGGTCGTAACATATTTAAACCGATTAATTAAGTCTCAAGGATTTGCTTTGTCATTTGAAAGATATTCAACATTTTTACGGAACATTTCACTTTTTTCATAAAGCCGTTAAAACTAGTTATTTCGTGGCGTTTTCTTTTCTCGAAAAAAATGTCACCTTTTTATATGGCAACATTATCAGAGTGCAACATTTTAAAGAAAGATCATGCAATATGCATGTGAAGATGCTGAGAAAAGAACACAAAGACTTCACAGCCCTGGCGCAGGGCGGAATAGATGCAACAATATTTCGAGAAAAGAAAACGCTATCAGTAAACGAATCTCGTATTAATCAAATGCTACTAACAAAAGGTTCAACGACATGTATTATCATCTTAATTTAGTTCCTAGAATTACGTACATTTTAAGCACATATTTTAAACCTCTTACATCCTTCCAGGTAAATGGTGGGGACCACAGAATCGCCAGCCAATACTCGCACTCCACGGTTGGCAGGACAATGCCGGTACATTCGATCGTCTATGTCCACTGCTGCCGGCGCACATTCCAATACTCTGCATTGATCTCCCCGGCCATGGTAAGTCGTCACACTATCCAAAAGGAATGCAGTATTTGATCTTTTGGGATGGCATTGCCCTCATACGGCGCATAGTACGCCGCTACGGTTGGGAGAATATGACACTGATGGGCCATTCCTTGGGTGGCGCATTGACTTTCATGTATGCGGCTAGCTTCCCAAATGAAGTGGAAAAACTCATTAACATCGATATTGCTGGACCAACAGTGCGCAATGTTGACCATTCTGCGGAAAAAACTGGCTGGGCAATAGATAAAATGTTGGATTACGAGAATTTATCGCTGAACAAGATGCCCTGCTATAATTATGAAGAAATGATTAAATTAGTTGTAGATGCGTATGATGGTTCAGTGGATGAAGAGGGTGCAAAGGTGTTGATGCGGCGTGGCATGTCACCAACACCAGCCGAAATAAAAAAGGATGGATTTAATTTTGCACGCGATGTGCGCTTGAAAGTGAGCTTGCTTGGCATGTTCACGAAAGAGCAAGTTATAGCTTATGCAAAGCTTATACGCTGTAAAGTACTCAATATACGTGCTGATCCCGGCATGACGTTTCAAAATCCACTATTTTACGCCGAGGTTATTGAAACGCTGAAAAAGAACGCAGAGTTAGTGATATTTGAGAAAGTACCTGGTACGCACCATTTGCATCTGGTTACCCCGGAACGAGTGGCGCCCGTAATAGCTGATTTTATGTTAAAGTCTTAAATATGACTAGTTGATTTAGTAGAGGCTCTAATCTACATTATAATACTAGTAACATCTAAATATATTTTTTAAGAAATTAACATGTGTATGCCACAAGTGGATTTTAAAATTAATTGACGTAAGAATGAAAATTATCAAGTATTAAATGTTTGCTACTTCGGATGCGTATGTGATACATTTTCTTTATTATAACAATTCAAAAAAAGGTTTGAAACGCTTTATGGAAAGAGATTGTTCGGAAGCACCACCTTCCAAAAAGAAATCGTAAATTCTTCTATCGATTAAATATTTCAAATCTATTTACACTTAACTTTTATGAATTCAGCGCTTTTTATGTTTGAATGTCGTTGATGTTAATAATAGGAAGCAAGTTGAATGATGGGACAATTTGGTACTTTAAAATTTTCTATAATTTACAATTAATACCAATTATAAAATTATCGGTAATTTTGCGCAAAAAATAAAAAGGCGAACAAATAAACAGAAAAAAGTACGCACGCAAAAAAACTAAAATATCTAAATAATAACAATAATAAAAAGGCGTTATAGCATCACGCAATTTTTCGTTTTATTTACTTTACTAACCACCCTTCTGGCATTCTGCTTGTTGGCTTGACAACCAAGTGTTTGGTATAGACGAGACGCTTACAGCCAGTGGTTGTACATATTTTTAAGCTTAATTTTCTTATTTTTTTTTACCAAACTAGATGGCAGTGAACTTGCACTCAGTAGCTTTTCAAGTTTTCAATACAGAAAATAGTGGTTAATTATATACTAAACAAAGGAGTAAACGAGTTTCATAAATGGATGTAATCAGCGAAATTAATGAAAAGTATTCTGCATTGGAGGCAGAAATCGATAAGAGGTTGGAGAAAATGTAAGTAGTAACCGCTGTATGGAGATAGTGGCGAACTGATATGTACATATGTATGTACATATTTACATGCATATCAAAAGGTGCAAACTCTCAGCCCAAAAGTATGCACTATAAACGTGATGGTTTATGTTAATTTCGATAAGTAGACGGCCAATATCTGGAAACTTTAGGATTATAATAGATTTTGGGATTTTGTAATTATGGGTTGCAGTTAAATAGAGAAAACTTTACAGGTATAACTTAACTTCGCCATACGTATAGGTAAAATAGTAAAAATAATAAATATAGTATAAAATAGTAAAATTGGTTTTGCAAAGAGTTTTCGGTTAAACCTTATCCAAGCACACCGTGATATGTTAATGTATACTATTACGATTTGTATTTTATTTTTCAGCAAAGCCGATGAAAAGAAGTTGGAAAAGTTGCAGGAGCAAAACGGCAACCAAACTGCAGCGCAGACAACTAAAGTTCTCTCCTACGAAGAATCAATCGCGAGAAATACAAATTTACTCAAAGTAGGTATTTGGGCAATAAATTTATGCAAATGTGCATATAAAAAAAAAAAAAAACGGTAATGTTTTCCATCGGATATATAAAATTTAATACATTTTAAGACTTCTGCGAAAATATTTCTTAAAAATATTAACATTTATGCGAGTTAACCTATTGGAAAATAACTAGCTCCACATTTTTTTATAAGTAAATTTAGTTTTTAAAAATGTATATCTATATTTTTTTTTAGATCACCTCAGAATATCAAAGAGTGTGAGCTCAAAAACCGCAGCTTTTTTTTTTGGTGATGCATCCTAATGTACCTCACCACATAAACCGAGTGTTCATATTTGTACACACATACGTTACCTTAATATAAAAAGGCCCTAACTAATTTTCTTTAAAAATTCAGCTTTATATAAAAGTGGGTAGATTACTCATTAAAGGCCTAATAAAATCTGAAAAATTACTGTTTATTAAAAATCATTTTATTACTACTTTGTAAATAAATAAAAATGTTAGACCTATCTATATTTTATTATAAAGTTAATTAGCTCCGTGTTAAGGGTAAGGAAAAGGAAGTCCAGGGGATTGATAATTCACTATCCACTTTCACGTGGGATCAATCCCCTTTATCCGCTTCGCCATATTTACATTAGTGTTGTACATACTAGTTATGTTATCACAGAAATCAATTACATATATATGTATATACTTAATATACATATGTACAGTATATAAATTGTATTAATTGTTGTTTTTTTGTGTTTTTACCTATTCTTGTAGTCATTGGAAATAGCCAAAGCGCGTTTACGTTCGCGTTCCACTTTCTCGCCAGTTGAGCAAATATTGGAAAAGGCAATCGCAAACTATAAAAGGGACTTGGAAACGTCACAGCAACTATCTTCACGCTTCAAACAAGTGCAAATTTATGAAGCGTCACCAGCTGCAGGCCCTGATCGAGAAAATGGAGACCAAGAATAGAAGCCAGGGAAAATGACATACATACACACATACATAAACACATATAGGCTATACATACCATACATATGTATGTATGCATTTGTATGCAAATGAGCTCATATTTTATGCATCTGTATCGAATTGATTACACTTATCGGTCATTTACTAAAACACTGTGTCAAACATTTTTTTTTTTGTTAGAAAACGCGTTTGAAGTTTTCAATTTGCTCGTAAAATGCAGAAAAAAATAAACACATAGGTATTATCTACTTACTGGGAAACTACACAAAATTTTAGCACTCAGTATTTGCACAATTGGGGGCTTCATCTAAAGTGATAAACTGTCGATAAACGTTATAAATGATACATTTCTATTAAAAAACCCGATTAACACGTTTATCGCCATTTTATCACTTTAGATAAATACCCCTAATATTGAGCATGATAAAATGAATAATTTTGCATCATTTGCCCAAAAATTTGATTTTTTTTAAGTTATGGCGGTCTTTTAGAAAGTGAGTGATATGTATAAACTGTTTGATTAAAAAATAAAAGAAAAATAAAAATAGCAAGACATCTTTTATTACATTAAGAACTACATATTATTAAAACGGAATTGCAGAGTTACTTCGAAATAAAAATATATTTAGAGATCACTCAAAGCACTCAGAGATTTCCATATATTTTAGATGAAAAAAAAAAACATTTTTCGTGGAAATGGTATAGAATTTTTAAGAATCAATGGGACTGTTCAGGATCTTGTACATAAATATGCTCTTGGATTTGCATATTCGTTGCATTTGTAAATTTACAAGAATGAAATGCACGCGGTTGTCATGGCAGCAAGCATAAACAAATTTATTTTGCTATTAGTCTGAAAAAAAAAATTAAATATCAGAAGAGTAAAATAAAGTAAAAAAAACGCCCCCCGAAGGGGCCAGATCTATCCTAATATATCCTCCATCCACCACCTGACTACGCCACTGTGCAGGATGATTTAAGTGTCACCGAAAAATACTTAAATGTCAAAAAAATATTATTTTTTTCGAAATTGCCTTGCATATTTACTTTAAGGGCTGGTTACTCAATGTCTAGTTAACACTAATCTCCGGTTAAACATCGTTATGGATGTCTTCGATTCCATGCATTTAACAGGGAGTCGGTAACGTCGATATCTATGTTTAACCGGAGATTAATGTTAACCTGACATTGAGTAACCGGCCCTTAGTATGGAAATAGCGCTTTCGTAAATCGGCGGTTAGCAGCTCACTAGTTGTATGTACATATATTTCAGTATAAGCAGCCATATCGGAAAAACGTGTATCCCAATAGGAAAATGTAATGTATAGTAATCGAAAAAGTAATCAGTATAACAACCCTTTTCACATTCGAAAAGGCATTTTTTACCCCAGGGCGATGTCCTAAGAAATGTGTGGCATTCAATTTGGCATTACCTAGTATCGAGAAATGAAGTTGTTTTAATATGAAATTTTTGGAACTTTTTGAATACATTAGAATGCTGATTACATAGTTATCAGTAACATAATCGAAAACCCATAAGAAATACATTATATTATTTATCAAGCATGTTACTACTTTTCCGACTGGGATGTATTTGCCGACATTCATACTGGTATGTACATACCTATGTACGTATGTATGTATGTAAACCGAAAGTAAGTCAAAATTTTTTATACAACGTGTCTCCTATTCAAATACAATTCTTTTGTAGCAACAATTTTATTAAGGAAACACATTTTTGTGAGAATTTACACAGTTTGTTATTGAATAAATAGTATCAGTGGAAATAAATACAAAATTTGGGGCTATAAGAAATGAGCTAAGCAACAGACAGTAACGACGTCAACTTTATAATATTTCTTTACTTTTCAGCTAAAATATGAAGGTAAATAAGTACATTTTTTATGTACACAAATACATTTATTAAATTTTACTTGAATTTAATTTTTTTGTTTGTTACGAATTTTTATTTTATAAATTCATACTTACGTATGTAAATGAAAGCCGTCAAGCTAATTCACCTACATACCTTCTAACGACAGGTGTCCAGGCGCTGTATTACATCTAGTTAAAATTTTGTTCTTCGCATGCAACCATACTTTATATTTGGAATATTCATCATTTATGCAAAACTAAAAAAAAATAAATTATCAAAAACTTGAGAATTGCCGTCGCTTAACTTGCGGAAACTTATTTCCGAAGCCCCGTCGTCGGAACAGAGCAAATTTTAAATAGATGTTTCATTAATAATTTATTTTCGGTGGCCGTTGCTTCAAGTAAGGCCAGGAAATGCTGTATTTTGAAAGGAATTTCCGTCTTTCTGTTTTGCATCATCCTTAATAATAATAGATTGGCGCTTATGCATATGCAAGTGTTTGGCCGAGCTTTTCCTCCGATTTGTGGCGTGCGCCCTGATGTTGTCACACAACGGGGAGGGATCTATAGTTTTACGCCGACTCCGAAGAACGGCGATTGTATTTTAATGAGAAGCTGTTTTTCATGGCAGAAACATACTCAGTGGTTTGCCATTGCCTGTCGAGGGGCGACCACTCTTAAGAAAAACCTTTTTTGAACCCAGGCCCTGCGGAGTGGAAGCGCGCTCTTCTTACCACTACATCACATCTTTACGCGCGGAAAAATCAAACTCGAAAAATAATAATAATAATAATAATCCCATTAAGAGCCATCCTAATACACGTACAGCAAGATAATTAATAAATGGAAATTAGTAGTTGTTGTTTGGTTTGAAATAAGTACTTATGTAAAACATATTTTGTGATGTACATACATACATAGTTTAAATGTGTGCCAAGTACGACTAAAAGATAAATTTGAAACATTGTATGTACATACAAAAATAAACTATCAATAAACACTATATCGATGGCTGAGTGGAAGATCGACCTATCTCGGCAGCCAGTTCGAAAACGCTCTATCTCAAAAAACTTTTCAAGAACGCCCTATTTCAGAATTTAATTGAAAAGCACCCTATCTCAAAATTCGGTTCCAAAACGCCCTATCTTACTTCAAAATGTATTGAAAATATGCTGATATAGGGCGTTTTTGAATCGGCAGCTGAGACAGGGCGTTTTTGAAACGAATTCTGAAATAGGGCGTTCTTGAAAAGTTTTTTGAGATAGAGCGTTTTCGAACTGGCTGCCGAGATAGGTCGATCTTCCACTCAGCCATCGATATGTACTACTATACTCACTTCATATTCACTTTTGATTATATCCACTACGACCTGGGCTCCAATTCTCGTTATATGAAATGGAGAAGGGAAAACGAAAAATTCAAAATGCCAGTGAAAATTTAATTACTTCACTTTAACATTTCATTATATCATTTTGAGCGATTCCCGATCATTAGAGACTCTTCCATTAACTTCTAGCAAGTAATTATTTGGTATCTAAATTATTATGAGTTTAAGACAACGATATTCGTTATCACAAAATGATGGTTTTGGTAAAGAAGCCAAACTTTTCTTTTTCACGCCACAAAACTTTTTGAGAAATTAATTTATTTCTATTTGAAAACAGAATCGTAATTTTATGTGAAATGATGAAAAATGTTTTCACTTTATGTTTTCACGGAACAAGAATTGGCTCCCTGAGCTGATAGATGATAAATACTCTAAAAATAAGAGTTTTATCAAAAATACATATTATTAAGGTCAAAATTACTCAGAATAATATTTAAGAAAGAAAAACTGTTCACTGTTTCGAAAAAATTTAACAGGGAATTTCGCAAAAAACTATAGTAGATTTTTTTTTTTTTTAACCAGTCTAATGTGCATATGTAGCCTCAATACCAGCCTTTAAGGGTATCCTATTCAACCTAAACTAAGCAAAGATCTGCGTTTAATAAACTAGTCTAGTGCCCCTTAAACCAATGACATACTGACAGAATAGACCTGTTAATCAAGTGGTCTATTATTATTTAGTTTGCAACTCGATAGATTCAGTAACTCTGAGAACAGTTTTTCCGTTTAAATATTATTGGTCTTCACACCGAAGCTTGGTACTGGGTAAATCGTTGTTCGGTAATTTTTTCCCATGTATCTTGTTTGTACTATAATACTATTTTGCACAAACAAAATACATTCGAAAATTACCGAACATCGAGTTACCGAGTACCAAGCCCGGTGTGAAGACCCCTACTGTTTGGAATATCCAGATAACAAAATAAGTAAACGGATATTGAAGTGATATCTGGATTTTATTCCTATACACGAATTTTCGAACGGCCATGGGGCATAGTCCCAGCCCTATTAAATAAGTATGTATGAATACGAATACATCTTTCTGTACATGAATTACCTAATTCAAAAGATTGCTTGACACTTTTTCACATTAACTAATTTGACATGGCTAATTTGAAAAGTGCATTTCGAGAACAATGTTTGCAGATATTTGTTATCGCATTGATGTTTGCTATCACAGTTATGTATATTTGTATGTGTGTACATTAGGGCGGTTCAATTTGAATGGGAGATTTTGTCGACTATGTGCGCATAGCACAGTTGGATTCTACGAGTGATTCTAAGCAAATTTGCCGAAGGAACCATTGGGTTTCGTCGAATTGAGAAAATAGGTTAATTAGCGTTTTGCTGTAGTGTCGTAAAGAAATGCTTACATTTTGTATTAAACATGCTATAAGGGGTTTTTGGGTATGAGAAATCCATTTATGCACTTGTTTTTTTCTTAAAGCTTCCAGCAGAGGGCGCAACAGTGAACATTTTTAAATTTTCTTCGTAACCTATTCTCGATATTTGGCAAATTCCAAATTGATTTAAGAATCATGGTTTATTTGGCAAATCTACTTAGAATTACACGTAGAATCCTCCTATGGTATAAGCGCATACAAAAAAAAAAAATGATCCGCCCTAGTGTACATATAGACTAGTGTTTAGATAAATAGATATTTACTTACACAAGATGTACAATTAATATACGTACATCGTTGGAACGGTGAAATAAATGAAATAGGCTGACGCATAAAAGCTGGAAAAAAATTTAAGGTGATGTGACAAGTGTTCGATACCATAATTCTTAAGCCTTTTTCAAGCAGTAAACAAATCAAGGGTGTAAGCGAAAATCCTGTCTAAAGCAAAAGGCTAAATTGGGTTAGCTTGGCTGATCCGCGAGATCTTATTTAGAATAGAAGTTGGTTTCTAGTGTTTCCAAGAAAGTGGAAGCCTAAAGGC